TGTTGTGTGACCTTGGCCTTCTGGGTGCTGGGATAACAGGAGTATGGCACATGTTTGGTTTATGAGGTAGAATGGACCTTGTTCATGTCTGGTAAGCACTCTACCAATGAACCTCTGGTCTCAGCTCAAGGATAATATTTTTATATCTCAAGAGAATGTATGGAAAACCACAGTTAAGTGTTGTTAAACATTTTTTTAGTTGATACCTTAGTTTTCTCTAGTTTCTCATAATTCCTGGGAAAAGTCTGGAGAGATTTCTATTTTTTTTTCCAATCAAGCTGTCTACTTTCTCTGTAGTGATGTGACACATTAACCTGTTCCAGTCAGCTTTCCATTATTGTGACAAAATGTCTGAGAAAAACCACTTATGGAAGAAAAGATTAGTCAGGCCTGCTGACTTATGCTTGCAAATCTATCCCTTAAACAGATGAGGGTTAGGAGAATTGCCTCGAGTTTGAGGCCAGCCTGGACTATGGAATGAATTCTAGGACAACCTGGGATACAGAGTAAGACATGGTCTCAGAAAGGAGAGATTGTATATTATACTTGACCAGATCAAGAATTACTAAGAATGCAAGCCTCTGGGCAAATCTCCAAGGGATTTCCTAGATTGAGTTAATTAGAGGGAAGACCCACATTGTGGCTAGCTCCATTAATCTCCTAGGAAGACCTGGAATAAAGTGAATGACATTACAGGTAACACTCCACCGTTTGCAATGTAGCCTCACCTCGTCCTGGCCACGCTGTGGGTGTTCATTAGGCTTTGTGGCCAGTTTAATGTCAGAAGTCTGGTCCTCTTAGATGGCTTTGGTTGTGGGTGAAGAATCCTGTAAGCTGGTAAACCTGCCCAGGTGATTTGAGGAACAGAGATCAAAGAACCACCAAAATGACAGCCATGGTACATATGCCTCCAATCCCAGAATTCCAGAGGCCAAGGCAGTAGAATCATGAATTTGACATAACCTGGGCTACACCGTTCTAGGCCAGTTGGGTTGTATAGCCAGACCCCATCTCAGACAACCACAATACATCAGTGCTACAAAGTACCTAGCAGAAAGCAAGGTGCCTTGCTAAATGGGCATCACAGAGAAAGAGAACAACCCATATGAGCGGTAAATATGATTAAGGAAACTCCTCTTGACCACGGTCCTACTGCCTCTAAGACTCATTACCCACACCTGTTAAAAGAAAAAGAAGCAAAAAACCTAAAAACAAGAAACCAACAAAAACCCAAATTAAAAACCTGTTTTTTTCTGTTTTGTTTTTAAACAGAATGCAACATATTCCATATGCTTTATGTTAAGAGTGTGAGTCAGGCCAGGCAATTGATCATGCCTTTAATCCCAGCACTTGGGAGGCAGAAACAGGTAGATCTCTGAGTGTGAGGCCATCCTGTCTTACACAGTGAGTTTGAGGACAGCCAGGGATTTGTAGAGGAGCTCTATCTCAAAAAACAAAACAAAACAAAACAAAACAACAACAGAGTGTTGTTTTTAAGCTGTCACTCACCTTTACAGTTCGGAGCTATCATGTGCAACTATGAAGTCTGTGCACTTCACAGCTCCAGGGAGAGTCATTCACACAGCATACACTATGAATTATGCCTTGATGGAGCTACACAGTGTAGCAACCAGAGCAGTATTAGTAGAATTCGTTCCAGGGTTCCACCACGTTTTAACTCAGCATGTGGTCTAGATGTATGGGTCAGCATCAGTTATGATGGACGGACCAGAAGGCTCTTCTAATTAGTGTGTGTTCTGTTTAATCTATTGATCCAGATGTCTGTCTTTCCCTAACCCAACCCCGAGGAAAAAGACCCTGCTGAGCAGATGGAGAATGAGCCTGCCTGCTCTATGCTGAATTTGTTGTTTTAGGGATCATTGCTTGTAAGGCTCCTTCTGGTGTGTGAGAAGAGTGGGAACTGGGCAGGGGTCACATTTAACATCAGTCACCTTTACCTGGGGTTTCTCTATAAAAGAAAAAGGTGTTACCATCCCAGGTATATGAGATGTCAGAGTAGGTGCATCCGTAGAGACAGGAAGTGGGTTCATCCTTTGGGTGTGGATGAGAATATTTTGTAATCACACCATTGTGATGTTTTCTTCATGCTTCTAAAGTACTGGAAAGTACTTAATTGCTCTCTCTCTCTCTCTCTCTCTCTCTCTCTCTCTCTCTTATATTTTGAAGATTTTATGACTTTAAAAATTATATGCATGTGTATCCATCTCTGTGTGTATGTGCATTTGTGTGTGTGGCTGACCAGGTGTTGAGCCTCTGGAGTTGGAGTTACAGGTGGTTGTAAACTGATCAATAAAGGTGCTAGGATATGAACTTGGGTCTTCTGTAAAAGCTGCAAATGCTCTAAAAATGCTGAGCCACCTCTCCAGACTCTGGAGCATAGGGGTGAATTTTAAGGCATATGGATTATATCCCAACCATCCAAGAAATAACATATTGAGATAGTGGTTCCTCACTGAGCTGAGAACATCTCTGAAACTAGTTTGGATGACAGAAGACTTCTGAGCTATTCACAGTTTCTCTTCCTGCTGCGGGCAGAGCTGGACACAGCTGTACTGTGAGTCCTGTGAAACTTTGTCTGTAACAACCATTTGAACCTGTTGAAATGTAATGTCTATGGTGAGATAAGAGGCAGATGACCCAGTCAACTTCGTGATCTTTGTGATCTTCAGAGGCATGTTTTTTTTTCCAAAGTGATTAGTATTAAAGCCCTCATTGTTGTTGCTTGCTCACCATGGTAAAGCCCTACAGCCATTCCATGCTTTCTGTAGGACATAGGACGATCAAGCTGGGACTGAGCCATAAGCTTTCTCCCTATAGCTAACTTCCACAGTACTTGAAGGCACTGTGTAGGCTTCTGGGGGAGAACTGTCAATAGCCCTACTCAGCTGTGGATCCTGTGTGCTATTATATATATACCACCAAAAATTCAGACAATATGGGGTCCACTAGTTCAGTCGTGGTAGACTGATATAAGTGTACCTGGCTGCTTTACGATTGGATTTCAGACCCATTCTGCACAAGAAATTTCACATCTGGTCCAAAGCCTGGGGCTAAGAGGTCATATGTTCTGTTGAGGAAGCTATAGCTGTTGTCTTGCTAACTGCATATGATATATCTGTCAAAGTGCCTTCTAAATACTTATGCTTATGTCCATAGACTACGTTGCTTTTGTCTCTAGTCAGAGAAGCCTCTTTTTAGGAAGGGTAGCAGTCACTGCAGAGACTCGTAAGTCATCAGAGTTCTGAGAAGAAGTGACGAGTTCCCAGTCATAAATGGGACATCAGGGAACAAAGAATGGAGAGAATGTAGGCTAGACAAAGGGGTGGAGTATTGTGGAACAGTCTCTTAGGCATGTCACGGCCATTGTGTCAGCAGCTATGATTGCCTAAAGGAGACCTGTACAAGGTTGGGCCCATTAATTTTCCGTTGGTGGGGGGCACATGAGGCATGCTCCAACCCAAGATTTACAGGCAATTAAGACTTGTGGGGAGGAGAGGTATTTCTATTTCTTCAATGGTGTAGTTGTTCATAAGATGCCCATGATTCTTTATGTAATTCTAATTAAACCTATTGTTTCCCAAGCTAGACTTAAGTGGAATCTTTGGTGTGTCATTGGTGCCCTATTTGGATAAATAGGTGTTGGTCTCCTCACACAAAAAAAGTTTGCAAAACATGGACCCAGCCACAAAGGGATGCCTACGGATGAGGAACATTCCCAGACACTATTCAATGTGACTGCCAGTCACCTTCCTGAAGACGAACACTCATAAAACTCATCTCTTCACAATGGCCTGTCACTGCTGCAGCTATGATCCATCTTTCAGTCTGAGGAGCCTGAGGCATGGGAAGGGACTGTGGCCTGATCACAGAGAAGCAAACAGCAGAATCAGGAATGGACAGTTCATGGTCCTCCTGACTGTGTGGTTTGGATCACTCATGGAGGTAACAGAAATTTCCTTTGAGCAGGCGAGTTCTAACAGACCTGCGCAAACACTGGGGCAGAGGTGGCTTAAGCCAATGGGACATCTGCTCTTGCTCTGGCTACCTTGGAAAGCTGAATCACCAGGTACTAATTTCAACCTTGGAACACCTCAAAAAGCTCCAGGGAGGAGTCTAAATTGTTGTCCCAGCTGCCATCCCACCTTTGATCTAGGCAAACCTTTTCATCCTTTGTACTCTACTGGGAATTAAAGCCAATTTCCACACTATATGAAGGGCTGGTGATAGACAAGTCACAATGGGAATCCGTTTCCCTAGAGCCCCGGGGCCTGGAAACCACAGCTTCCTGTGTGAGCTTCCAGAGTTCCCTGTTATGCAGGAAAGGGATGCCATTGAAAACAGGGCGATGTAAGATGCTGCATGCCTGTCACTCCAGTGCTTGGGAAGCTAAAGGCAGGAGTCTCACCAGCTCAAGGCCAACTTAGGCTACATAGTAATGCCCTGTCTCCAAAAAACAAAAACCTTTCTTTTGCAAAAAAGGAAGACAAGATTATGTAAGAGAGTGAGTTGGGTGTGGTGGTGACCCTGTACAACAAGCACGGGCACCCGCTTACCTGTAGGGACTTTTGTAATAGGGACTTGCCCAGTAACTGTATGGGGCTTGTTCCTGCTCCAGTACCTGGCTTAGCATCGATGCTTAATTAACTCCTGTCAACCTAGTTGTTCTGACAACACTCAGTGTTGGAGGTTTGTGATAAACCCTGACTTCTGCCAGCTGGCAGGGTGTCAGAGTCTTAATCATAGAGTGAGAAACCAACACACAGCTTAATGGTCATGAGCTATAGGTAGGCAGGCAGCCACAGGCAGGACAGTGACACCAGTTATCAGAGAGGTTTCCCTTCTGAGAAACCATCCTTCTTACCCTGGGGTCTCAATGCTGGCTGAAAAAGGAAAGGAAGGCTGTACTCAGAGGACCTAAGTTATCCCCTAGAAGCATGACAGCTCCATCAAATACAAGACAGGACTCAAAGACAGGCAGGTGCCAGTAAAAATACGGTACTCATTTTTGATGGCTGTGCTATGTTTTAAGGCAAATGTCACACATACACAAAACATCAAGAGATGAACATGTTAGAAAAATAGCCAAGAGACATTTCAGACAGTTGTGGTGGTTTCTTCCCCGTTACGAAACTCCATCAACTTCTCTGAGAGCCAGAACTCAGGGAGGTGTGGGACCACCTCCTCTTTTGGCCTCCAAGGAGATCCCAAGCATGTCACACGGAAGCACCTTCCTCCGACCACAGCAGCGCTTGTTACTGTGGGTCCAGGTTGAGACTTGAGTGTCCAGCCAGTGGGTTTCACTGTCCAGTTCCAATCCCTACTTAATAAGATTCTTCAGAAATGGATGCCAAAGACATAATTTGTAGTTTAGTTCCCCTTTATACAAACTCAGACTTGCTTGGAGCTAAAAGCACGCACGCACACACACACACACACACACTACCTAAAGTATATGTAAATACAGAGGATAAGATACACTGAAACTTAAAAAAAATACCAGCTGCTCACTCGTAATCAAACAATGTGATTGATTCCCCTTTAAAAAAACGGTGTTGGCAACAAGGTTTGCCACTCCCTGCTTAGGTCCTGGTTACTCCTGGCCCCACAGGGGAGTGAAATGGCTCCGCTGGTTTAAAGACCTGGGCCTTCACCCTGGCTGCGTGGGCTCTGCTCTTCGCCCATCCCTTCACTCAGGCACAGGCCCCATTTTAAAATGGCCTCTGTCCCAAGTATGTGGGGGTCCGGCAATAACACAATAGAGAAAGCAAGATGAAGAGCGAAGCCAGTGACTTAGGGACTTATCTCCTGTTACGGTGGGGTTGGCAGAAACTGTGGGTTGAGAGTAACAGAGTTGGGTACCCAGAAATGGGGTAGAAGTTGAGTAGCTCATTAAGAAGAGGCTGTGTTGAATGTTTTCACAACTCTTCAGAACTCGAGTTCTGAAGTATGAGGATAACAATTCAGGGGAGCTGCTCATGCCAACAGGCGGCCTTCATGGAGAAAGCTGTCTCTCAGGTAAACTGGGCACTTACAGGTACTGGAACTTGACTTCCAAGATGCAAAAAAATAATTTCCACAGATTTATCCGTGGCCTTATCAGATCTCAATGAAGTAGGTAAGAGGCAGGTTACATCAGACCCAGGACGAACCATAGGTCACACACAAGCAAGTAGTTTACTGTGGAAGCCAGACAGGGGTCTGGGAACAGCCTTGATTAGTGCGTGGGTGATTTGTAGCTTGGCAACATTTTAGGAAGGACCTAGTCAAACTGTAATAGACTGACCAACCAATATGAGGCGGCAACGCTGTGACCACATCACCCCTCCCGGAGGAGGAGGTCCTACGGTCGATCTGCGGCTAAATCCAAATGGAAATGGAGGGGAAGTGTTGGCAGAAGGCCAGGCCTCACTCACTCACTCGCTCGCTCTACAGAAGCAGAGAAGTGCCTCAGTCTAGAATGGGAAGAATCCTGTCTCATCCTGTTTAGGGTGCTCCCCGGTCTGCCCCGACCTCAGAGTTTATGGTTTACTCAAGCTGTGCTAACCACCACATGGAGTATCTCTACGTTGTTTTACCTCTGGTCCCTCAGAAGCCACCCTCACAAGTGGAGCATTGGCCTTTAACCCAAACGCCAGCTCAGTAGATTCCAGCTCAGTCTAAGACACTGGGAAGTTCTTCAGTGTCTGCTGCTGCAGAGACAATGTAATAGACAACTGCAAACCCTCTGGCTTGCCCAGAAAGCACTGGATGCAGAGCTCCTGGGGGACAGTGAAGAATCCATCTGCATTCCCCCTACATTTATCCCCAGGCCTGTGTGAGCCTGGAAGCCCTCAGGCCTGGCTGCTCGAAGGGGTTCCCCCAATAGAGTCAAGGTGTGTCCACAGCTCCACGGAGACATGGATGGAGACAAACGTCAGGGGTTCTAGTCCTCAGTTAGCAGTCTTGGCCTGGGAGCCCCATGCCTGTGCTGAGAGGTCACTCTCAAACTGGTGATTGGGCCAAAGCATTCCTTGGGAGACGAAAAGTCTGCGAGGGCCATGCCCACATCAGTGGGGCAGGCTACCAGGGTTGCTGGTACTAGCAGGCTGGCCCAAGACCCAACACCATCACAGCACCGACTCCTTGGATTCAAGTTCTGGAGCAATGGTCGCTGGGCCTGCCGGGTTCTGGTGTGTCACCAGAGGCGACGTCTCCTCCTCAGACTTGGAATTGGGAATGGCTTCTACCTTCACTTCTTGCAGCTCCTGCTCACCTTTCTTCACTGCCCTCTGATTCAGGTGGTTGAGGATCCCGGCTCCCAGGGCATCCCCTTCCACATTCACCACAGTGGTGGTCCGGTCCCTGGTGGAAACAGGAAGGAAAAAGGACTGAAGCTATACCCAGAGTCACCACTGGGGGCGCTGTCACAAGCACAGGTAGCCACAGGGGAGGTTGACTTGTAGGGAGCGACCAAAGTTCTGAGTAAATGGGTCAATGCCTCACACCCAAGGGGGACGGGAAAAGCCAGGCAAAGCCTTCCCTCCCTTACTCTGTGTAAGGATGTTGACAGTGTGACACATTTATGGCCTGAAGTTGGCTGTCTTACAGAGACTGTTCCTTCAGAGGTGAGGCAAATGTGCCTCCATATTCAGCTGTATACTATAAAGGCTGTGTCCCTGACTCAGCTATATGCAATAACCCTGCTTCCCTGAACTTCCTGGGTGCTGTGACTTCTGTGTCTGACCCCAGCCCCCTGGGCCTGGATGCCTGTCCTTTCTTCAGCGTGTGTCCTGTTCCTCATTTCCTCAGCACCCTAATCAGGAGCCCTGCTGGCTGTGACACTGGAGGGCATTCCTCCAACAGATCTGCGCTAAATTCACCTCTGAGCACCATTTACTCTTAGAAAGTAACAGAGGCTCATCGTAGAAAATGTCGGGAAAAGAGCAGTAGAAGGTAGCAAACAAGTCACCTGAGCATGACACTTCTGGGAGTGGATATGTAATCTAGTTCCTGCCAGCCATCTTTCCATAGACTTTTGTTATGTGCAATGGCCCCGCTATAGAGAGCACTGTGTGCATTTGGGAGAAGCAAGTAGACATGGCTTTGGGTTCAGCTGTTCTTCCCCTCAGTGTTCCAGCACACTGCTTCAGTCCTGGGTACCAACAGCATGTGCATTCCATGGCTGTGGGCAAGCAGGTCTTAGAAAACAGCCCTGCTCTTCCCACAGCCTACTTAGCACAGGTTAGCTCAACATCACTCTTGTTACTGGAACTCAGAGAAAGGCCTGTAGTCATTTTGAAGACAGGGAAAATGGTATGATCTTCCCCAAGGGCACTGGAGGGCTGGAGCCCTCTGCCAGCTTGTGTGCCCACAGGCCTCTACTGGGCAACCAGCAGGGGTGCTATTTCCCTCATAGGCTGAGCACCTCTGAGATACATTCTCTGGGCAAAGGAGACAGTTGGAAGGAGAAAGAGACAGATGATCCCTGACTGACTCTGGTCCTGCTTAGCACAGGGATGGAGCTCCCTCTGATGAAGTGTCTGAAGCTTAGGAGACTCTATCAGACTTTTTACCCCATTTCTGTGAAGAGCCCTCAGGCTTCCGCCCAGCGTTGCAGACCAGTGCTAGACACTCAAAGCCAGTGTCTCTCTGCCTGGCTGTGACCAGCCCAGCAGGATTATCCTCCTCACTAATGTTTGCTGAATGCTGTCCCACATGCCCCATGTTCTCTGCACTGTACAGAATAGTGACTCAGTTAGTCCTCACCATGACTGGTAAGGCTTCTACTATGACAGCAGGATACACAGATACACAGACGAGCCGGGCTAAAGGCTCCTTTTCTTACCCTTGAGCTCTGCTTTCCCCACATCACTTCCTGAGTCAACTTTCTTATAGAACAGTATTATTTATATCTGCATGAGGTGTCAGAAGGCTCAGGTGATCAACCTCCAGACATGCTTGTGTGTGAAGGGAACTGCAGGGATAGCAGCCTGGTCACCTCCTTGCCTAACTTCTCCTGAGTCCCAGAACAGGATGTGTGTGCATGCTCTCCTTGCATAGCAACCATTCCTCAGATATTTACACGCCAGGACCAACCAGTGCTTCAAGTACTGACACTCTACTCTGCCCCTTGCACATACTGTACACTACAAGCAAGTCCTGGATGCTCAGCTCTCATACCATTTGTGAATGTTCATGGGCTCTTGTCTGTATATTGTTGACTTCTCACAGATAGAAATCTGGCTTTGCTGGCTTAACTACAGATGCCTTCCAAAGCAGAGACGGTTGTAGTGTCTCTACATGCACCAGGTCTAGTGAAGCGTCAGGTTCTCAGGGGCCTCGACAGACTTTCTTTTTTCTAGGGTGTTTGGAATCAGCTACTTACACAATCCAGTCCACAGCCAGGATCAGAGAGAGGTCATGTGTGGGCAATCCAATGGCCTCCAGGATGATGGCAATGGTGAGGACCCCTCCAGCAGGCACACCTGCTGCTCCGACACTGGATGCTGTGGCAGTCACTCTAGGGTACAGCAAAGCAAAGGCAGCCTTGAACACGGAGCATGGAGGTGGCCCAGGGAATTACAGACCATTGTAGCCACGACATAAATAACCACTTACTCTAGGAGCTTGACGGGTGAGGCATCCTCCAAGTGCACTCAGACCTCACACTCTCCAGCTCTGTGCTCACCAACCAACTGCTGACCCCAGATACCAAAAACTAACTACTGCACAGCTAGACATCATTTTTTTTCTTATTGCCTTTATGAAGAAGTATAGCAACAACTCCCCAAGCACTTACATTATACTAATCTAGATAAATCTAGAAATGACTCTCCCCTAGCACTTACATCATATTAATCTAGATAAATCTAGAAATGACTTAAAGTATTGAGGAAAATATGCCCACATTATATACAAGGCAGTACTGATGGCCTGGACCTGAGATGTCCCCTGTAACAGGCTGTTTTTAACACTTGGTTCCGAGCTGGGAGCTGTACTTTGAAGGCTGCAGAGTCTTTGGGAGGTGAGGCTTGGCTGTAGCTCAGTAGGGATGGGCTTTGGGGATTATACCTGCGCCCTGTCCTGACCTGCCTCCTCAGCTTCCTGTGTATCACCATGTCCTTCTTGATGGACCAAAATTCCTCTGAACTATGAGCCTCAATAAACCTTTCATCTTTTAAGCTGTTTCTGCCAAATATTTTGTCATAGCAATGCAAAAGCCAACTACTCCATGTACTTATTATCTGTTGGAGTAAGATGGTCCTGGACCCGAAGCCCCTGTGACAGATAACTTCGATTGTTGGTGTGACTGAATTGGGAAAGCCCTAGAGTCTTACTGAGGCATGTTTTTGGGTGTGTTTGTGGGGACATTTCCAAAGAGGGTTAACTGGGATGGGAAGACTCACCCTAAATGTAAGGAGCACCATACTATAGCTAGAGTTCTAGACTGTATAGGAATGGAAAAAGGACAAAGCCAGCTGAATGCCAGCACTCATCTTTCTGTGCCTTGATCAGCCCAGTCGTAGGCAAACAGCATCCACTCCCACGCCTTTCCCACAACATCAGACTGTATCCCCTCAGAATGTAAGACAACACACAGCTTTCCTGCCTTAAATTGCTTTCTGTGGGGTGTTCTGTCCCGGCAGCAAGAAAACTAAGACAGCCTCAGGATACTGAGGGATGACTGTGATGAATTCTCACCATCCTGCCTTTACAGACAAGACGCCCAGCGATTCTGGGATTGGTTTTTTCAAAGGAAATCGTGAACACACATATCAAAGTTTTAAGCCAGGCTTAACAATGTAAAAAGAGTAACAAGGCTCACAGAATGGTGAAAATCTGTCCTGCGTTCAGGTCCACATTGTTGAGCTGGGCGATGAACACTGCGGCCACACATTGGAAGATGGCTGCTCCATCCATGTTGACTGTGGCCCCAATGGGGAGGATGAACCTGCTGATCCTCTTGTCTACACCATTGTTTTCCTCAATACACTTCATCATAGATGGAAGAGTTGCTGAGCTAGAGACGGGGAAAACAACCAAGCATGGAAACGGTCCCCAGCCAGGTGAACACCACTCAGCTCAGACCCCGGAACACACCCGTGCGGCGGCCCAGCCAGATCTCTTTCAAAGTTTCCAGTGTAACTGTCAAATCCCACAGGACTCAAACATGACTTCCAGAATGCACTTGTTACATTATTCACGAGGACTCCCCTAAGGGCCACATCTTGCCTCAGTACACAATGTTCCCAAGAGAAGCACTGGGCTTGCCTGGCTCCATACCCATTCGGTTGGTTCTGCAGCCCACTCACCTGGAACAGGTCGCAAAAGCTGTTGCAAACGGGGTGAGGAGGCCCAGGAGGAACCTGAACGGGTTTTTCCTGGTGAAAGCAAAATAGACAAGAGGCAGGACAATCCCTCCATGGATAACGTGACCCAGTATAGATGCAAAGATGTACTTCCCGAGGCTGGTCACCAGCATGATGATGTCCTTCATTTCCACAATCTTGCTTCCAATCAGGAACATGATGCCTATAGGTACATACCTAGGAATAAGCACAGATATTCATTAGAGAGGTGGCGAGGCTGGGAGATACTGAGCCTCCCAGGGACTTTCAACTGGGTCATCTTTGTCTCTCCATAGAGTAACTCTTGACACACAAAAAAAGATGGGGTGGAGTCTTAGTTAGGGTTTTACTGATGTGAGCAGACACCATGACCAAGGCAAGTCTTATAAAGGACAACATCTTATTGGGGCTGGCTTACAGGTGCAGTCTAGTATCATCAAGGCAGGGACATGGCAGCATCCAAGCAGGCACGGTGCAGGCAAAGCTGAGAGTTCTACATCTTCATCTGAAGGCTGCTAGTGGAAGACTGACTTCCAGGCAGCTAGGGTGAGGGTCTTAAGTCCACGCCCACAGTGACACACCTACTCCAGCAAGGCCACACCTCCTAATAGTGCCACTCCCTGAACCAAGCATATGCAAACCATCACAGGTAGGGTGACTTTTTTTTTTTAAATAAACAGTTTGTGTGACTGAGAAAAATGAAGATGATCATTCTCCAGGTGAGTGCTCCCACACACTTAGAGTCCTCCCTCTGGTATACATACACCTTTCTTTTAGCTTTCCTTCTCTCCTTCCTCTCCTTCTTCCCCCTATCCTTCCTGCTACCTGAAGTCTCATTACACAATCCAGGTTAGCCTGGAGCTTGTGATCCTCCTGCCTCAGCTTCCTGAGCGCTGAGCTGAGCCGAACCACCTGGCTCTGTTCTTAACTGACGAACTGCTACCAGCTACATGGCAAAAGACAAAGAATTAAAACGAAAGGCTATGCGCTTGCGACTGCGAGCTTGACTTTTAGCTTTGCTCAGACTTGTCCTGAGAACTCAGAAACACAAGAATCCCACAGAACTGCCGTGATACGAAATGAACACGGCCCAGGGCTTCCGTGAAGTTTTACATTCTCTGTGGCTTGGAAGACATGATCCCGTGGGAAAAAGTCATTAACAATGATATTCTGGGAACACTGCCAGAAGAGGAAGATTTTTTTTTCCCTTTTAAAGGGAGAAAAGGAATAAATTATAGAAACTACAAAGAACAAGTCAGTTGCCGTAAATTTAATATCAATCTGGTAACGATTCTACAATTGCCGTTTTAACTTAGAAATTTTAATTTACAGTTAATAATACCTCCTTGTTCAGATTTCAAGGGGAGCAGAAGTGTGAGGAGCATGAAGTCTCACACGTCCGCCCCCAAGCACCCGGTGGAGGGGCCAGTGTGATTGACTTCTTGAGTTTTCCTTCTAGAGACATTCTCAGCAGTATTAGGAACTTTAACTCTCATCGTCCTACACCCGCTCTTGAGGACCAGAGCACCAACTCTTCAGGCACCATCCTCAAGCCAAGTCCCTCCAGACAAGCACCCCTAGTACCTAGAGACTCCTGGGTGCCTAGAGATACAGGAATGCATTTAAATCTGTACTGTTTCACATTTCACATCATGCTTACGAGATCTTTTTTCTATCAGTATTTAGAAATTTGCCTTTTAAAATAATGATGATGGAACACACATAACATTTAGCATCGAAACATTCATTATATGCAGAGTTGATCGCCGTTAAGCACATTAGAGTTGTTGGGCAGCCATTCCCACCACCCAGCCCAGAAGTATCTCCACCACTCCAGAGTAAAGCTCTGCTCTCATATACAGCAGCTCCCACGCCCTCCGCCCCAGCCAGCCTCGGGTAACTACTGCTGTAGCCACACAAAAGCAGAACATACACCCTTGGCTTTCTGTGGCTTGTTTCAGCAGGCTCATATCTTTCTGTTGTAGTTATATGTAGTTATACCATGCTGTGGTATATGTCAGAATATCATTTTTATAAGGCTGAAGAACACTCCATTTCCTACATACCACATTTTGTTTCTCCACCCGCCCTCTACTGATAGACATTTGGGCTGGTTCTACAGTCCTTGGGAAGAGAGAACATTATTGAGATTGGCCTACAGTGTAGTGTATTTTCTTGGTTGATAATTGATATGGGAGGGCCCAGTTGACTCTGGCCAGCACCACCCTAAGGCAGGTGGTCCCGGGTGCTATAAGAAAGCAGGCTGAGCAAGCCATGAGGACAAACCAGTAAGCAACATCCCTCCATGGCCTCTGCATCAGCTCCTGGCTCCTGGGCCTGCACTGCTTGAGTTCCTGCCCTGACTTCCTGCCATGACGGGGTGGGATGTGAAACTGTAGTCTAAAATAACCTCTTCCTCCTCATGCTGTTTAAGGTCATGGTGTTTTATCACAGCAATAGAAATCCTAACCAAGACAGGTAAAATGCCAGGAAAAGCTTTTAAGATATGAGGGCTGGAACTAGTCTGATTTCTCGGATGTTGCTCTGAAAGAGATGGTCAAATTGTTATTTTTTAGCCAGGATTCAAGCTAGTGGTTTCTACTGAGCAACCGTCCTTTCATTAGTATGACACAAAGAAACACTTATAAATTAAAAGCTTTCATAGAAGACCATTTCAAGTTTTACCTAAGGAGGGGGGAGATAAGTTTTTTTCTCCTTGTTGTAAAAGGTCACACCAACCATCTCCTAGAAGCTTAAAGTTTATCATTTTAAGATAAAAGAGGTGTTGCCCAGGGCTGGAGTTTCAACAGCTCGCGCATGTGAAAGGAGGAGTAAAGGTGTAGAGAGCCCGAAAGCATGCTCTCCCGTTACTCGTTAGCTAATTCTAGTAGTTGGTGAAGCATCTGGCTCACAATCGACGTGTGAGAAGAGATTGGCAGACTCAAGTGGCCTTTCTAATGTTTGAGTAATGATGGAGATGGACCCAAATTAGATAGTGATCTCTTCAATAAAGCAATAGAAGATTCTTCATATCACTTCTGGAAGCGCAGTTCAGTTTTTGGGAAGGAGGAGAACAAGTGAAATACAGAAAATTAATAAGAAGAAAACCTCATTTTGGAATTCTCTTTCTCCTTGACGCTTATCTTTTCTACTTATAATTTTGCTTTGAATGTATAAATAGTAAAGGCCAAAGAAATAGAATATATATTTAGGAGCTTTATACCAAGAAATTTGCCTTGAAAGCTGCTATTCTGTGGCAGGAAAACTATATGACGTTTCTGTTGGATTCCTTTTTCAAAAAACAAAACAAGACTTCTTACATCTTTAGATTTTGAAGGTTAAAACCGAAAAAAGTATATATACACACACACTGCTTTAAGCAGTTGTGTAAGATAATGAGATTTGTGTTTTAAAAGCTTTGTTGTAGATATTTTGCCGCTGGAATTGATTGCGCAGAAGCTCTCTTGCAGTGCTTTACTATTACATTTTTGACCTGTCACCTTGATGACATTTCTTGCCCACACCTAGACCACTTGTCTTTCTAGCCATGACCTTGTTATGAACAGTGTTTGTACTCACTGGGCAGATGTCCATGTTTTGCCTATTTAAGCAACATTATAGTGCCATTACTCAAGGAAGTTGAATGAGGTGGACATAGACATAGCTTTCCCCCTTTCCCCCCTTTTTTAAATGTAACAAATAACTTTTTATGTCCCCCTTTCCCCTTCTCCTTCCCCTTCCCCCTTTGGAAAAGTGTCAGGAACTACGTATTCAGGATGAGCAATTGAGAGGAGTAAGAGGGTGGGCCACACAGAGCTGGGCTTCTTTGTGCTTCATCACAAGGTGTGCTGCTGGCCAGGCTATTTTGGCACCCTTTTTACAAGAAAACCTCGTGGAAGATACAGGTGGCAACTTTGGATACAGGACCACAGAGGTGACACTCTGAGGATCCTGGCCATGAGGTTGGATGCCTCATCTTGCTGAAAAGACACTGGACCTAAATGGTGTAGCCTGACTTTGTTCCTGCTTGGCTAAATTTCTCAACGCCACAGTCAGCTAAGTCATCTACAGCCACCTTTGACAAACACGGAGAGCACCTATCCCGTGGAGAAGGTAGATTTGGAATAAGCCATCGTCGACATAATTCCTCTGATGGCTTTAGACCTCTGCGGACTACAGGAAATTCTTGGCACCAACCCTCCCTGTTCCGCCATGATTCTGTTGACTCTGGTGTCTCTAAGGGAGCATATGCTGGAACCACAGGGAATACATCTGGTTGGCACGGCTTTTCCAGAGGTCATGATGGTATGAGCCAACGTAGTGGAGGTAGTACAGGAAACCACTGACACTGGAATGGCAGCTTCCACTCCCGGAAAGGCTGTGCCTTTCAAGAAAAAACACCAACTGAGATTAGGGAGGAAAAAAAAAGAAGATAAAGTAGAAAAGTTACAGTTCGAAGAGGAAGAATTCCCTTCTTTGAATCCAGAAGCTGGAAAACAGAATCAGCCATGCAGACCTATTGGGACCCCTTCTGGAGTGTGGGAAAATCCACCTAGTGCCAAGCAACCCTCAAAGATGCTAGTCATCAAAAAAGTTTCGAAAGAGGATCCTGCTGCTGCCTTTTCTGCTGCCTTCACCTCCTCAGGATCCCACCATGCAAACGGCAACAAAGTGTCAACTATGGTCCCAAGTGTCTATAAGAACTTGGTTCCTAAGCCTGCACCACCTCCTTCTAAGCCCAATGCATGGAAAGCTAACAGAATGGAACACAAATCTGGACCACTTTGCTCTAGCTGGGAGTCTGCTTTTACCAGTTCAGTTTCTGTTACTAAACCGGTGGCACTAGCTGCTGGTGCAGTTCTCAACTCTCCCAGAGAGAGTCCCTCCAGTACTCCCATTGAGAGAGAGAGTAGTCTGACTGAGAGCTCCAAATGGGAGCTGTCAGGGCACAGTCTCTCCGATTGAGATCGGCTCCTCTCGTCTGACCAAACTGACCTGACGAACCACGGATAGGAAGCGCGAGTTCCTGAAGACTCTGAAGGATGAAGGAAATGGAGACTGCTCAGAAAGAAGAGACTGTGACAAGCTGGAGGGGCTGAGATTGGAGGGCAGCCACACACCCGAACCAAAGGAAAATGGAGAACAAGGTTGTCTTCAGAACGGTCTTTCTCTACACATGGTAGAGGAAGGGGAGGTTCTGCCACACTCTCTGGAAGCAAAGCACAGGTTATTAAAAGCAATGGGATGGCAGGAATATCCTGAAAATGATGAGAGTTGCCTTTCACTCACAGAGAAGAACTCAAGGAGTTTCACATGAGAACAGAGCAGCTACGAAGAAATGGGTTTGGAAAGAATGGCTTCTTACAAAGCCGTAGTTCCAGCCTGCTCTCCCCATGGGGAAGCACTTGCATTGCAGAGTGTGAGGACTCAGACACGGAAACAAGCAGCAGCGAGACGTCAGACGCCGCCGCCTGGAAGTAGAACTGTAAATGCTCACAGTTGACCTGCCCCGCTGAGGTCAGCCTTGCGTTTAGAGAATATAAAGTGTTCTTTTCCTTTTCTTATGTTGTTGAATACTTCATGCACAAGGGAAATAATCATATCCCAAAGAGAGAGCAATTGTCTTGCTTAGCTTTTGTTGTTCTTCCCTGTTATCTGCTTAATAGGCATTTGTGTGGTGGGATTTTTTTAAGCACACACACAGTACCTGTGGGGCTGTGCACAAATGGGAGCTGTCAGGGCACAGACGCAGGAGGGAGATGCTGCTCTGCTCAACAGCTTCTACTGCCAGCCCTCGGGCACTCCCCCCTGTGCTCACACAATCATTGTCAATGACAAAGTGACTATTGAAGTTATAACTGGATTAACTTAATGCTAATAATTTGGATATTTTATTTTATTTTTGGCTGCTGGGGTAACTTAGCCCTTAACCAAGCATATGTGGTTGTTTTTGTTTTTTGTTTTTTGTTTCTTTTTTTGGGTACAGTTGTAAAATATTTGGCTATAGGAAATGTTATTCTTGCAGCCTTGATATTCAGGGTGGATTGTAAAATATGAATTTTTGTGAGATTTCAAAGATTAAGATTATTTTGATAACATTATTTACAGATTTAAAAGATGTGGTTACCACAAGTCTGTTGAGGGGGAAAAAAAAAAAAAGAAAAAAAAAAGCTAAAAGAAGCTTATTTTATGCGGCAGACAGTAAACTAGACATGACAAGTACATGAACTGACATGGGAAGCCATACATGGATCATGGTGATGCGAGTCCAGGGTTCAGTGTGAACACCAGACAGTAACTATGTGCTCCCGGTACTCTAAGAGACCCAGACACGAAGAGCATCATCATCATTAGAGTATGTGAGAGCGCGTGCGCATGCGTGCGTGCGTGCGTGCGTGCGTGCGTGCGTGCGTGCGTGCGTGCGTGCTTGGGCATCTGTTTTCTCCTTCCACTGTGGGCTCCAGAGAGCAAACTCAGATTGTTAGGCTTACTGTCCACTGAGCCATCACCCTGGTCCAACCATTGCTTTTGGTACCATGTCAGGCTATGCTTGATCAACGGCACACCGGGCACGGGGCCAGGTGTCCCACAGGGTAACCTAGAGTACTGATTTTTTTCCTAGACACCAGGGGCCAGTTAGAAGAAGAAATGGCAGAGTGACACTCACCACATGATCCACGACACCAGCACCATCGTTGCCTCATTGAAGGAATTGAAGAATCGGATGAGCTCTTCTCCCTCGGGGCCTAGCTTCTTTAGAGCCACTCCTAACACCAGGGCAAAAAGGACCAGTCCTAAAATGTTCATCCCTTCAACATCTGTGACGACGGGAATCTGTAGATCAGAAGAGACAGAAGGAATCAAGTTCAACAACAGAGGAGCGGGCCATTAACATGGATCTGCACAGTGTCTGAAACACTGCAGAATAACCAAAGGCGCGAGTTCTCTTTAACCTTCAGTGAGGTACAAACAAGGGAGCAGAAAACAGCAGGAGACTGAGTCGGAGTGACACAGTTATTAGCCAGGAGTGGCTGCTCACACCTGTGATCATAGCACTCGGAGGTTCGGAGGGAGGAGCACTGGGGTTTTGAGGCTACCCTGGACTATAAAGTAAGACATTGTCTTAAAAGAACAAAACAAAACAGACCCAGAAAAGCTAGCTGTTAGAATATTCCTCCAAGGACCCAAGGACCGTAACTGCCGTCTCCCATGTCAGCGCATCGGTTGTCATCTGGACCTTATTCTGACCTCCCAGCTGACAAGTCTCACGAGATTTTCAGGAGTCATGTGGGCTGTCCCCAAGGGTCTTCAGTAAATCATCCACTGAAGATGTGTAGACATAGCTGGGCGACTAGGGAAGGCAGAGGCAGGCCGATTGCTGTGACTTTAAGGCCAGCCTGGCCTACAGGGCATTCCGGGAAAGCCAGGACTGCACAGTGAAACTCTGATGTGAAAAACTAAAAACCCTAACCAAAAAAAGAGAGAAAATAAAGAAAAAAACAGATGTGGAGACATAACAGAGCCTTGGTGTCCCCAGCAAAGCTGAATTCCACGGCTGCAGGTCGTTTAAAGTAAACAAGCGTCTCATCCTGCCAAAACATCACTGCCAGGCATGATCTGACGTAGTGGAACTCAGTCAAGTGAGGCCAAGGCAGCAGGATTCTAATTCAAGGCCACTGAGACTCCATGTCCCAAACAAACAAACAAACAAACAAACAGGGGCTGGGGAGATGCCCGGTGGTTTAAACGAGCATTTACTGAGGACTGAATTCAGGTCTCAGTATCTACAAGAAACAGCTCACAACCACATGTAACTCCAGCTCTGGGGGATCTAATACCGTCTTCTGGTCTCCTCAGATGGCTGTTTTCAGGCATAGAACCCTCACACATACACATACATAATAACTTTAAAAATTCTAAATAAATAAGAATAATTTAGAATAAATAATTAGAATAGATAAATAAAATAATTCTAAATAAATAAAATAATTCTAAAGGCAGGGTGGGATAGGGGGTTTGTGGAGGGGAAACCGGAAAGGGGGATAACATTTGAAATGTAAATAAATAAAATAACCAATATTTTTTTTTTAAAAAAAAGCCTATGATTAATTCTATCTAAAAAAAAAAAAAAGATTTATTAAGTTAGGTAGTTCCCAGGTCTCTCATCCCTTCTAGGTCTGTCACAAAAGCCAGGCCATGGCCCAGTATCTGATAAACATTCCCTTACAGCTACTGCAAATATACTCTCAATAGAGTTCACTAATTTCCAGGTTAAGTGGACACATGTGAGTGAAAGGTTTGCGTTCCATGTAGCTCTCCGATGACCAAGCAAACATGTAAAGACTGATGGGTAGTGGTGTCATGTGCTTCTGATTCGTCATTAAGAAACATCTCAGATCTAATAGTAATGCCGAGGTAAAGGAAGACAGTCATCGTCACGTCTGCTTTGTTTACACTAATGAACTAACTTACCAGGAACATTTCTAGGAGCGGTGACAGGTAAGGAAGCCCAGCTATGGAGCCTGAGTGAGTTTAGGTGAGTAACTCAATCTCTCTGTTCTACACCTTCAGAACGAGGATAAAAACAGTAGTGCTACGTAACTGTTAGGAAGTTTGCGTGCGTTATATGTGTAAAGTACTTAGATTATTTTTAGAAAATCAAATAATTTGGGTTTTTTTTGTTGTTGTTGTTGTTTTGGAGAAACAGGGTCTCTTGTAGCCCAGGCTGGTCTTGAACTTCTGAAGCTTAAGATGACCTTCACTGATTCAGCAGCTTCTACATCCTGGGTGTCAGAATTATAGCCATGCACTATGCTTGGTTTTATTGGGTCTGGAGATGAACCCAGAGCTTCTGCATGTAAGGCAGTTCTACCAACGGAGTTAGATCCCCAGAAGTACTGCTGTTTGTCTTGTGTTTTGGAGGAAAGATTTATCTCACTTTACAGCTGCAGATATTTTAAGTTCACCTTGGTAGGGAGCACAGAGCAGACCAGACACTAAGACGAGGGCAGGGCTCTGTCTAGTGCGAGCATCACCCAAGTGTGGCACCCAGTGGCTGCCAAATGTCACTGTTTACTGCATTAATGATACAACAAAAGGCTAGGTTTGTACCTGTGGCACGTGATCACAGGAGATCAGAGCAGGCATGGAGGAGAGCCATAGGTGAGGGCTGGAGCCTCTCATGTTTCCTTAGGCTGGGTTCTCCTGGTTAATTCTGCCAGTAGCATTCCATCATTGGGGAACAAGGATAACTCTACTTGTGTCTTTAAGAAAAGAACACTGGAATTGGCAAGGCCACACAACTCCTCTGTTGAAGAGCTAACATTCTTGAATTTACCCAGGAGAGCAGGGGACATCAGCTGGGGGACACCTGTGGGTCACTAGCACTTCCATTGGGGAAATCAGAGCAGTCAAAAATGCTAAGTTAGACAAAACTTGAAGACATTACAGAAATAGGAAGGTTCTGGGATGCCTGGATTGCTCGAGGCTTCAGACAGTCCCAGATGGTCCTCAGCACACCATTTCAAGATGTTTGCAGTGGAGATCAGTCTGTCCTAAGGTTCAAATGGTACGACTCTGTTTAATTGTTTTGATATAGGATTTTACTGTTTCATTAACTGTCCTGGAACTTACTCTGTAGACCAGGCTGGCCTTAAACTCACAGAGATCCACCTTCCTGTGCCTCCCAAGTGCTGGAATTACAGGCATGTGCCATTACACCTGGTTTGATTCTGGTTTATATATAACAAACAATTCTCCAAAGTTTGGGGTAAAGCCAAAGAAAATACCATTTTGTTAACTTTACCAAGTGTCATTTACCATTTTAGAAAAGTGTGTTGACAGGACAAAGTACTAAGATTCAGGTCACTGGTACAACACAGCACCCTGAAGATGCAGCTGTAGCATTCTGGGTTATTTTACAGACAGATAGGAAAGCATTCACTTAGCATCCTCCCCTCAAATGTGCAAAAAATGTACTAACAATATTAGGCTGAATTCTGTCTTACCCCTTTTGTTATTCGGAACTTTCATTATTCTGAAACATGCACTTCAACTCTGTAGCCCTAGTTTCAAGATTCCCGCTGCTGAGATTGTAGGGTTCTACAGCAGACACGCCTTTATTACATTTATGGCAACGGGGTTCCCGACGTTGCCCTGGGTGGCCTGCATCACTGGGTTCGGGCGATCCTCTTGCCTCAGCTCAAGTAGCTGGAACTACAGGCACACACCACCATGCTCAGCCCACTCTGGCTTTATTTTATTACTCAATTTTATTTTTGAGGGAGAATCTCCTTGTATAGCCTAGGCTATCCTAGAACTCACAATGAATCTCCTGCCTCAGCCTCAAAAGGGCTGGGATTACAACTATGCTCTATCAATACCAAGCCTCAATGTTTTTAAGTCCAAATTTATTAACTCCAAGTATATGCAAATATACAAAACCTTTGTTACATCTTCTATAATTGTCTATTTATATGGTGAAATATGTTTAGGGTTATTACGTTATCTTTTATTTCTCCCGTATATCAAGTTAGTGTTTTAAAGTTCCATGTGTAGGTTATGCTGAGACACATTTTCATTGCATTTTAGCTAGAAGAGGTGTTATGAACTAGCAGCTTACAGACCTCTGGAGATTCCTGTGCTTTGGTGTTTGGCTGTGCTTTAAGGAGCAAACCTATCCTGGAGGTTTTAAGTATTCCATTCAGACCCCTATCTCCAATCTCAGTAAGTAACAGACACACTGTGGCTGTCCTTCAGTAAGGAAGCTGGTTTACTTTCCCCACATTTCCATAAGCCTTCTTCTGAAGAGCCTTACCTTCTCTTTGGTCACGTTCCCCAAGCTGGTGTTATAGGTCACCACTGTGTAATTGGTTGCAGACTAATAAAGAGGAAGAAAACCCATCATTAGTGAACAGAGACACTAAGGGCACAGCGAGGTCCCATTCTACTACTGCCACTATTCATAGTGAGTGTGCTGGGCAAGCTGCACTTGGCTGGCCTGATCCTGACCTCTGAATCCTGCATAAGCTACGTTAACACTCAGGCAGCGAGCCCTTCATAAGCTTTTGGGTTATTTAGGGACCGAGGGGACAGAGAATTTCCATCTGTTCCTTGGGCAATAGGGTAAAGAAGACATAAGCTATTTCCTGCTGACAGTTTGATCCTTCACCAGCTCGTGTTTCATATTGTTTAAGAAGTTTGGCACAAATTCCAGAAAGACAAAGTTCATCAAACTTTATTTTTATTTATATATTACGCTCCAGTGTGTTCCAGAATGACCTAAGTGTGGCTGCTCTTTGGCATCCGTTTCTAATCTGGCTTGAGCTGCCCACCTCCAGAGAAAGGAGCACCAGGTAAGGCAGTGTCCTCAGGCCACGTCTCCCAGGCCTTGGTCCTACTGTTAGTTAAGTAGACACACACCTTCGCATGGTGTGCACTGCATCTCTCTCCCTGCTAAGGAGGTCAGGTGGCTACAGAACTGTCAGACAGCCACAGAGAGCTACAGACCTGAGCGTCTGCTTGAGCCCATGTTCCAAGAGCTTTGGTTTCTCTCTGCTTTACCAAAGTTTCAGAGAGGCGGATGTATTCAGCTGTCCAGTGATGGGGTGGCAGGGAGACGAACCCCGTTCATCCCTTCTGTGACGAGCTCCCAAAGCTCTATGTGTTTCCCTCCACTTCACGTTATATACACAAGTCACCCATCCCTCCCCGCTTTCGGCAAAAATGTACGTACTACCTTGATAGTCAGAATAAAAGTATGATTTCTGAAAATTCTATAATGTTTCAGACAGTCTCCAAATAATAGTTTGAAGGCATTTTCTAAATGATGTAAAGGGATATTGGAACCCCCTTTCTATATTTTAGAGGGGTTTTTTGTTGTTGTTTCAAGTATCCTTCTATAAAAACTGACCCTAATGTTGCTGAGTTTTGTTTATAACAAGATCCCTCTGGATTGCTCTGGTATATCTCCGAATAGCTCCTTTGGCATCCTCCTCCAAGTTCTTCACGGAGGACCCCCCGCACAGCCTCTTATTCTCACTGTTACTGAAACTCCTCTCCAGGTGTGAAAGGGAAGCCTCTCCTTCCCTCCGTGGCCCCACCACTTGACCCTAGCATATACTGACCATTTTCTGCCCTCCCTCCCGCTTCGAGGCCTGATCATGATTTCAGGGTCATTTCTCCTAACAGGCCCCATTCATGAAGGGTTTGGGGAGGGACTACCCTAGGATCCCTCCTTCCTATACTTTATAAAACTCTAGCGCATTCATTTAGACAGTCCCCTCACCAAAGTTTCATATAATTGATAAAATATCAGACCTTACCGTAGTGAACGCGGCCACCACAAGATTGGAAGGGAAGAGGTTTCTGTGGAAAAAGAAAGCAAGTGTTCTGTCAGGGTTGTAGGTTTTTGTTGTTGTTGTTTTGTGTATGCATGTGTTTTAAGTACTGTGGTTCTATGACCTGGGGCTCTGCATATACTAGGCAAGTGTCCTAGCATTGAGATCTACCCCAGCTCACTCTTTAAACATTTAAACAGCCTTGAAATTCACTGAGTAGCAGAGATGGTGTTGAACTGTGGATCCTTCAACGTATCACCAGCTCGGTTTTGATTGTTTTTAAGATATACTTTTATCATTTAATTGTGTATGTGTGTGCGCACATACATGTGTATAGACACACCAGTGGAGGTCAAACAAGGGCCAGAATCCCGTAGAGCTTTGGTTATGGTTGAGTCATCTGATATGGGTACTGGGAACTGAAGGACAGTCCTCTGCACGAGCGGTAAGCACTCCAAGTGCTGAGCCATTTCTCCAGCCTCAGCGATTGTTATTTAGTTAATGCTGAAGCAAGGTCTTACTTACTATGCAGTCCCAGCTGACTTTAAACCCTCCATCCTCATCCCACAGCTCCCCAAGTGCTGGAATTATAGGCATACATCACCAAACCTGTTCAACCAATGGACCTGGCTGGTTTTTACAGTAATTGAGATCCATTTAGAGAGTTGGGAGATCTTGGAAGGGAGGGTACCAGGGTCGAGAAACTCATCCTGGCAAGTTCAACAAAATCCTATACAACTGTTTCAAAGCCCGTAGAATCCCCAGTGTTCCGCATGACAATAGCCTCATTTATACTTGCCTGCCTGAGCCTGGACTAACTCCAACCAAGAGATTTTGTTTTTTTTCTTTTCATACCTTGAACACACCTTCCAGGAATACAGCTACCATGTAAATTATGGGATAATAGTTTGTTTTGTTTTGAAAGTTTCCAAGAATTACTCATCTTGATAAGAAACTGAAGGACCAATGGTGAATTATAAGCTCAGAGTCCTTCCTTTTGCACTCATAGCTAGCTCCTTAGCAGTGGCTTCCTCCTCTCCCTGTGCACCACCATGTCCAGTCAGCAGTAGTTCTAAACCAGAAATAAGGATCCAACCTCTTTTAGGGAATTTACATAGTTTTTAAAGACTTATTTACTTATTTGGGTGTGTGTGTGTGTGTGTGTGTGTACATGTATGCATGTGTACATGCCCCCTCATATGCTTGTTCAAATGGACACTGTGGCTATGCATGAAGTCAGAGGTTGATGGAAATCAGGTGACCTCCTCAATCATCCACCACCTTATTTTTGTATAATAAAAGTTTCTCACTGCCTCAGGAGCAAGCAAATCCCAGCAATCCTATCTCTCCTCCCCCTCAGAGCTGGGGTTAAAGGCTTATGGAGGATGCCTAGCTTGTGCTATGGGTGCTGAGAACCAAACTTCGGTCCTCAGGATGTGCAGCCATCACTTTAACCACTAGCCATTGATAGAGCTCTGTCTGCATTTATATATTAAAGCATATTTTTAGAAGGCTGGAGAGATGGCGTGGCAGTTAAGAGCACTGGCTGCTCTTCCAGAGGACCACACTTAATTCTCAGCAGCATACCTTCTGTAACTCACACATGTGGTGCATAGATACACATAAGCAAAGTATCAATACACATAAAATAAACACATTTATTGTAATATTTTCCTTTTATCATTTATATTAATAAAGTCATTGTGATGTCTTAAATACATGGATAGGAATGGATTTTATGTTTGGATAAAAGCATTTGTTATTTATTTTTTTAAAGGCGATAGGGGTTGGGAAAATGACTGTTAACAATGTGCTTCTGGCTCAAGCATGAGGACCTAAAATAAATCCCACGGACCTACATAAAAGCCAGAAGCAGGAATGTGAGTCTGAGATCCCAGTGCTGGGAATCCCAAGACTGAAGGAGCCGGGAGTACAGTGCTTGGGAGGCAGAGGCAGGAGGATCTCTGTGAGCTGGAGACCAGCCCAGTCTACATATCGAGTTCCAGCACAGCCAGGGCTACACAGAGGGACCCCGTCTCAAAACAAACAAATAAAAAAACAAACAAATGGAGCATGATTGAAGAGGAAGATGCCGAGTTTTGATCTCTGAGGTTCATGTACTACACATACAAGCACCCCCCCCCCACACACGCACACACACACACACACACACACACACACACCAAACAAACAAATGAGTTTTCAGAAAACTGAGTCCAAAATCTATTCATGCAAACAATTTTTATTTATTGATGTCTTCTTATTCTCCTTCTCCTTCTCCTTCTTTTTTATATAGACTAGGCTAACCTTGAATTCACAGAGATCCACCTGCTTCTTCCTCCCAAGTGCTGGGAATATCCTCTTTAGAGCAAGGCTCTGTGTGGAACACTGGCCTTGATTTATAAAATATCATATTCCAGCTATATAGTTCCAGCAGGAACAACAAATCTGGAAGAATGCTAGGCGCAGGGTCGTCCTTTACATGGCTCCCTGTGCTGGACTTTCCACCAATTCCTGCTCCTGTAGGCAAGTTGAGCTGCTGAATTAATGATGAACTAGGCAGGATCTAGGAGCTGGGAGACGAGCCTCTGGCCATACCTTTCTGAGATTATCTGAATTTGGCTGAGATGGGAGGACACTGCCTAAAAGTGGGTAGAACCACTCCCTGGGGTGATTAGAAAGAGAAAGTGAGTGTTACACACTCCCTTGCCACTCTATTTTCTGATGTGGCTGCAATGTGCCCAGCTGCTTCAAGCTCCTCTCACCTTGATGGACTATACCTTGAACTGTGAGCCAAAATAAATCTTTTCTCCTGTAAGTTGCTTTTTTGTTAGAGTATTTTATCACAGCAACAGGAAAAGAAGGTAAGACAGGCTGTTCCAGCAAAGAAACCTACAAACACACACACACACACAAAATATATAGTGCTGGGGTTCTGAGACAGGCAGGTGTGATGACCCAGTGGTGGGCAATCTAAGAGAGCCTCTTGGTGTTCGTTTATTACACAATCCCCTTTCCTTGAGATGACAGAGTCTATGACTTGCTCGAAATTGGTATAATGCATCGAAAGAGATGAATGGGTCATTCCTTCCGTGTTTTGGTCACCTAAAATTGTAGCTTCCTGTCTAGTTAGCACACTCTCCTGTTGGTCTTTCTGGACTTACACTTGTATAAAGGAAGCAGCTATTCCGGAAAGCCCCACTTGATGAGGAACTGAGCGTGGCCTCCAGTCAACCTAGTCAACAACAGAGTAGGAACCATGGCTCCAAGTGAAGACCTCAGCAAGCTAAATTCTGCCAATAGCCACGTTGGCAAAATACGCCTCCCCTCGACAAGCTTTCAGATAAGAGCCAACCAATGCCTTGACTGCTGTCCTCTAAGAGAAAGAAGCTGAACGACAAGATTCCCGCCCCACAGATCTCCAGGATTATACCTGTGTGGGGATTTAAGCTGCTCTATTGCAGCCAGTTGTTACAAGGTAGCTAATACACAAGCCAACAGTATAAATGAGGTAAAAAATCAAACCAGAAACGTGTTTAGGACTCTCATTGTGCTCCCAGAGGACAACCAGCATTCACAGCCTCCCCACACTCACTGGTCTATGAAACCTGAATTGGTTTTGGCATCCTTAAGAACAACCAGCAAGTGTGCACCTGCACGAGAGCAGAAAACGGGGATCCTGAGCTGAGTTAAGTGTTGGAAGTCGTGAGAAGTTCTTATCATGGGTATATTTTCTTTAAACAAGCAGATGTGGACTGCGGATGAAGCTCGGTTTATAGCATGTGTGAACTGGATTTGGTCCCTGGCGCCATTTAAACAGGGCACACACCTATAGCCGAGCCCCTGTCGGGTGAAGGCAGAGGATAGGAAGTTCAAAGTTATCCTTGGCTATAGAGTGCATTTAGGACTGGCCTGGGTTTCATAAAATCCCATTTTATTTGTAGTTTTTCAAAGATAAACTAGCAACTTATATTGAGTAGCCTTTGGTCTATCTGTGAAAAGCAATATATTTACCTTCCTTCCGTTACAAAAACAACTTCCTATTCCATCCCCATGTGACTAGGTCTGGCAGGTCCTTCTGTTTGCTAGTCTCCTCAGGAGCAGAAAGAGAGCCTGTGCCAACCTTCCTGGTCTTTCCCTCCTACTTGCCAATTCTCGGTTCCCAGACCCAGTTGGCCAGAGGGTTCTCCTTCTGTGAGGACAGGGAAGTTATGAAAACTGCCAAGTTAGAAAACCTCCACCTTCTGTCTGACTAGTTTTATGTCAACTTGACACAAGCTAGACCAGCAGTTCTCAACACGTGGGTCGAGATCCCTTTGGGGATCAAATAACACTTTCACGGGTGAGGGTTGCCTAAGACCTTTGGAAAACACTGATATTTACATTACAATTCCTAACGGTAGCAAAACTACAGTTATAAAGTAGCATAACTGTATGGTTGGGGTCACCACAACATGAAAAGAAGGGTCGCGGCATTAGGAGGGTTGTAAAGCACCGAGCTAGAGTCATCTGGAAGGAACCTCAATGTACACAGCGGTAGAGCATTTTCATAATTAGGGCTTGGTGGGGGAGGGCCTAGCCCATTGTAGATGGTGCCAACCCTGGGCTGGGGGGCCTGGAAACTCCTCCATGGCCTCTACAATAGTTTCTGCCCCTAGGTTCCTACGCGGTTGAGTCCCTGTCCTGAATTCCTTCAACGATGAACAGTGGTTTCAAGCATAAGCCAAACAAACCCCTTCCTCCCCAGGGTGCTTTGGCCATGGTGCTTCATCACAGCAATAGTAACCCTAACTAGGAAAACCTTCCCCACAGGAAATAACTTGCCCTTCAAATGCTTCATATTCTACAGGGTTAGCTGCTTCCTGGGTGGGTTTGAGGAGTCTTCAATTCACAGCTTAGAAATAGACCCTCTTACAAAGGAGTACAGCCCTCGGTTGAAATCCTTTTCTGTCCTGCCTAATCTCTTAATCAAGAGCCCTAACCCTGTACCATCTTATCCAGAATAGACCCCCAACAGAGTTCATTTTA